TCACTCAGCATATTGTAAACATTACACTACAATGCTGATTTAAAACTCACTAACACCAAAGCGAAAGCGTTTTCGATTATTGAAACTCGAAAATTAACGCTGCATAGTGCGCGCATGAGCCGCACTCAGGCGGTTTTTCCGCGCACCTCAAATGCTGTGTCCACACATGCGTCGTCGCCTAGCGGAAGATGGCGCCACGAAAATTTTGGCGCCGCGTCGCTCGTCTGTGCTCAGTGCTTAGTGAGGGCGACGCGTGGCTTGGTAGTCTGTATTGGTTTTGTTATTCTTTTTTACTCAACAAGTAATATGTTTACTGCCCATAAGATTGAGAAATTTCCATATTTTCACGATAAAATTATTGTGAAATATTTATGATTTGAAGCCAACTCTTAAATTAAAACATCAAAATAGTAGAACATGCTTGCACGGCTCGAGCTAGTTATACTTAGAACTTAATAAATGTCCCCAGAATTGAATGCAATCTAAAACAAATGAATCCATCTTCAAAGGCAATTCATGGATACCGCTTTCTGCAAGAGTTGAGGTCGCGAAAGCCACAGAAGATATGTATAGTTTCAACTAACGAATATGGCTTACAAATCGTGATTTATTGCACACAATTTCATCATTGTACTCTCATCACCACACCCACTTAAAGCCATCGAAATTCCACTCGTCGTTTTACCTAGGAAAGTAAAATGTCAGTCCCATGGCGTGTGTGCCTATCATCCACTTTGGAGTCAGACACAACAATAAGAAGAAATATCAGCTGTATTTACCTTAACTAAATTTTTAAAATGCAATTAAAGTTGATCTACGTTCCAATGCCCGACAATTATGAGAAACACGCAAGAGCTCTGCAATACGCTAGCGAGCACTCAGATACAAAGTGTTACGGTAGAAGATTTCGAGATAGTTAATGGAAAGTGTCCAAAATATTGAACTTGGAAAATATCGAGAAGTACTGATTTCTTTCGCAAATAATTCATGTAGTTCTTTATACTACTTACATTGGTATAAAAGTCAATACATTCATTTATTGGAACTACGAAAAATCAAAATTTAGTAACTGAAATTGATAATATTATTCAAATATGCACAAAAAGAAACGCAAACGAGTTGAGGAATAAAATACAAAATAGACAAAAATAATGTGTGTTTCTGAGGAAAAACAAAACACTTATTCCAGTTCCATTGCGGCAGCCGACCGAGACACATCGTGCTCCGAACTTCTTACAAGAACTATTTCAACACCTTTAACATTTAATTACCAATCTACATGATTACAAGTCTCATCTGCAAGTTCAAAACCACAAATATCAAAAATAAAGGTACCTTACGAATGAAATGTAGAAGATAAATGCCAAATACAAAAATATTGAGTTAATTATAAAAATAAACATTAGAGCTCCAGAAATAGAATTTAAAGCATTTTCTGAAATTTAGCTAATAAGTATTGTGAAATTCTAAATTTTTTCGGAGATAATAACAAAAAAATTAAAAGAACTCCATCAAATAGCACGATAGTTGGGACATTAAATGAGAAAACGCAAGAATTAAAAGAATTTCCGTTTTGTCAAGAAGAATTACTTTACACATAGACAAGTTCAGAAACCAAATCTTGGTGTAGAAGCTTGCCAAGTTTTCGAGGCGTGGTCATGGTCGAGAACCAGTTCAGACAGAGAGATGGGCGCTCCCCAAGGTCTCGGTCGCGGCCCTCGCACGTATAAAAGCAGCGCGCGCGCCGGCCAGGGCATCAGTGTTCTCTGCAGCAGATCACAGTCTCCTCTCAACATGCTGAAGCTCGTGAGTATCTATCCACAGCTTTTCCTGGGGTTCTGCCCGAAGTTCTGGGTCGCCATTTGCACGGCATACAGCTCCTTCAGAGCCGAGTTTTAGGTTTGAAAATGCATAGATAAAACTATTAAGTTTATTCTTAGAAGAACTTTGGAAAATTTCTAGATTTTTTCGATATGTGAGATTATTGTGGGCTTAAAATTTCAATAACTTAAAATATCAATCTCGGTTTCACTTTCCAAAATCGTTGAGGCAGTGATTAACATCATCTGAGCTTTCGTATTTAACTTAACGTGTATTTCGTAGAATAAATGTAAACTAACTTTTAATTCTTTGACTACAGGTGCTTGTCGTCCTCGCCATCCTGGCTGCCGTCTCGGCCCAGTACATCGCCCCCTACTACGGTAACTACTACCGCTCCGCCGCCGTTGCCGCCTACCCCTACAGCTACGGCAATGTTGCCTATGGCGCCTACGCCCCCGCCTACTATGGTGGATACGGCTACTACAAATAAGCTCCTTCCCCGCTGACCCTGTGAGTACTCGCTCTCTGTAGTGCTTGTGTTGATGGTTGAGTTGTGTTGTGTTGTGTTGTGTTGGCGGTGCGAGGGTTCTAATGGCTGTTCTTTGTTTGCAGACGCTTCTCCCCGGCACACGACTTCGGCACACTGTCTCCACTCTCCGATGGGCATTCGTCGCTACAGCGGCGCACACACATTTCTGGCGTCTTCTTTTCGTCCACCATTTCTAAATAAATCTATTTAAACAAAATCTCTCTGACTTGTCACTCGCGCTGCGCTCCTCCAATTCTCCTCTCCCAGTCTCCTTGCATTCTTGTTTCCGATTAGAATACGAGTATTTGTCTTACGTTAGTAGAACTTTATTTTAGATACGCATTTAATGCAATCAGACAGTGTGATGTCTGGAGGTAAACACTCTTAAAAAGATGAAATCTAATAAGTAAATAGTCTGTAAGAAGTAAATAGGAATGGAATCGGAGGAAACACAATTCCAAGTGGCACGAAAATAAATATGGAATTGATATTCTAATTTAAATTCATGTAAGGAAATGTTACACAAAATATCGATCTTACAACGATTCTTTTTCACGAGGGGTTTCTAATGGGAAATAGTCGTAAAAATCTGAAAGTCATTAAAATGGAAAACAATTCTCTACTATAAAAAATGGAATACTTAGAATGTAAATCACTACATCAATAACGTACGTATTCGAGAGGAAGTATGTTCAGAGTAATATACGTAGTATATGAGAGAGTTTAACCGCTTGGCCTGTCAGGAAACTGAATTCATGATATTCTATGCGACGTAACTACACGGGTGTAAATCTCTGTATCGAAATAAAGTTAAATAATATTGCAAAGATTACGTTTCTCTTTGCCCTATCCTCTATGGGAGCATGGACAACTTAACGTAGGTTTCTCAAGAGTAAACAGTTTTTCTAATGCATGTATGACTATCATGGAAAGCGAAAATCTTACTGTCAAAGAAGATTGTATAATTACTTCAAATGCATGTTGAAGTGCTGTGATGTGTTCCAAGAACATCTGTCTACTATACTGAATAAACCTTTACTGACAATTTATTTCTGTATTGAAAAAACCCTTATTTTCAAACATCAATTATTTTTATATTGGATACTTCAATTACATTAGAACTACATTCATCTTTATACATTTTAAACAAATAAACATGTTTCCTTGACAACACCCCTTCTTGATATGGAAATGGAAGAGTAGGAAAGGGGTGCGGTTGAATATGCGAGAGTTCTAGCATGGGTACCTTAATTTTAAATATTTTAAGTAATACCTTAGTTTTAAATATAGTTTCTTTACCGAATGGGACTGCAAGTAATTATAAATATTGGTAATCATTGCTCTTACAGAATTTCATTTGCTTACTATTTATCAATTACATTAAAATGAATAGTAATTTTTGACACACTGCAATAAAATATTTTTAGACACCCAATGCTCATTAGGCGTTGGCATCCATAGATCACTTCTTTTTTAACAATATTTTAGCACCACTTAAGCATTTTAGCAAAAAATTAAGAAGTTTTCTCCACAACATGCTACACTAAACGGTGTCTCGGAACAAAATGTTTGTCCCTGCCTTTTCCCATTGAGAAAAGAAACCGCACCGTCTGTATTTTTAAATTGTTGGTTACATTGCATTCACCACTTCCGACTTACGGACAATGTGTGAAAATTGTTACTAACTGACCATTGCTGTTTGTTCTTCTTTCATACGTTATTTTTATCGTTTTATGTAGTTAGACGTTAGTTTCAATATTTTAATTATTTTTCAAGTCATTAACTAATCTATTTTATTGCAAATTAAGATTATACACTGGAAACCGATGGGCGCGCGGTATAAATATTCACAATCTTTATCTGCATTTTCTTTTAATTCATTGTTTGTCGTTTTATTCATTGGGGCGAGTAAATTGATTGTAAACTCATTTATTTACTTAAACTATTGTTTTTGTAAACTTGAAACCGCCGAAATGATGGATCGTAGCACAATTCTGCAATGAGTTCTTCCATCAAGGGAAAGACAAGCTATCGAGTTACAAACTATTGTCTATATTATTTAAAATAGAGACCAACTTATTAACACACACAAAATACCCGCTATCAACTCTATTATAAAAAATTCTGAGTCCCCATTTGATCCCAAATATTTTTTAAACAATTATTAGTATCTAATTTAATCCTTTTCACTGGTTGCATCATCCAATACTGGTTGTTTATTCTTGCTAACACTTATTGTGCCTTGCCAATTACTCTTCCCCATCATTGTCCACAGCTACATCCCAAACCTTTTGTATTGATGGTTTAATAAAGTGGGAAGAATTTATGATAAAACAAAATCCGCGACTCCCAAACTCAAATTTGCTATTTCCACGAGGATAAAACGTTATTAAAAAATACAACAATAATATTAGTTTAATAGAATAGAAACTAATATATTACTACCTTCAGAGTAAACTAGAATTTGTTTGAGATCTGAGTTCGTGTGAACGATTATGTTAAGATTCAAAATGAATACATTCATTTGAAGATGCCAAATTCTGCACCAGTCTTCACACGAATTCAAAACCACTCAACTTTACGTAATATTTGTAATTGAGCAAAACATTGAGTAAAAGAAAATTAAAGTGAGTTAGATCTGACGAAATACCTTATGACAAAAAACGTCTGTGAAGTTGAACTGCAGCCAAGCTGCACGAGGCGTCATCAGCGGGTAACAAGTTCCTGGGTGTTTACGCGCGACACAAGGTCTCGGCCAGAGTCTTCTTCCGTATAAAAGCGGGGCGGGCGCCGAGTAGAGCATCAGTGTTATCTGAAGAAGATCACCATCATCTCTCAACATGCTGAAGCTCGTGAGTATCTACTTTCACACATCTTACTTTTAAGAAGTGCTCACGGAGCAGCGTTGCTTCAAACAAGAATTTTTCGTTACACATAACGTTCAGAGATAGTTTAAATTTACTTCTTGTGAAAACATTGAAACATTTCTGTTATACTTCTTCATTTAAATTCGCATGCATTCGTAGGTTCTTCCCTAGAGATTGATTATCCTCCCTGACCTACGCTCAAACTCAATTGAATCTTCTATTTTCGAACTTAAAGCACAATGTGGTTACATGGGCTTTTCATTTTTATCTGAATTTTTAACTTAATCTTACGGGCATTCCTCTGTATTCCAGCAAAGACATATTCCAAAACTTTGTTCTTAATCATATATTTCAATATGTCATTATTTGTAATCTAGAACGATAATCACTAATGTACACAAGAATAATAGAAAAATGTTTTGAAAGCAACAAAAGAACAAATATTTTTTCGAGATTGAGATTATTGCTCCAACATTAACAACAGATATACAATCAGTACGATATCTTTCATCCATTATTTTGGTAGGTAACCGAAATTCGTAAATAACTGAACACAATATTAGTAGTATTAAAACTTGTAATGCAAATCAGAGAACGAATAGTAAATAACGTTGATTGTTTCTGATGATTGATGATTTCTTTAGTAAAACTAATATTTCAAAATGTTAGGAATGCATTCAAAACATATTTGATCGTTTCCAAGAAAACCAATTCATTAACTCAAAGTGTGAACGTTTTTCATTGAATATGCTATTAGTAGTTCTGATGGTATATTTTAAGTAATAATAACAATAATAATAATAACAATAACAATAATAACAATAATAATAACAATGATAATAGAGTATATATTAAAGCAGATAATTGTTTTTATTTGACGATTATCCTCTTATGTATCTTTTCAAATTCCAAAAAAATATTTCATGTTTTGTAACAGAGTTTTTCTGTTCTAAACTAAACTGTTCTAAACTGTTTCTAAACTAATAAAACTTGTACGTTTAAAAAAAGTGAGTTGAAGAAATGTTTAACAAGCATTTATTTAAAAGAATCATTTAGAAACTGAATGAAAACGGCTAAATACTTGTTAATACGAAGATACATTAAAATCATGATACACATTCCAATTATTAAATATGAAAATATGTTCATTTTTATTGAAGATTCACGTAGTATTTTATTAATTCATTCGCAATATAATAGGAAACAATGATACGTCTTACATTTAATGTCGTACTGGAATAACTCAAGCAATTATTGATATCCAATAATGTGTGCACCTTCCCCGCATGCTTTATTCATTTGTTCTTAAAATTTACTTTTGATGCATTCGACAGGTGTTAGTCGTCCTCGCGAAGCCATCTCAGCTCAGTTCGTCGCCCCTTACTACGGGAACTACTACCGCTCCGCGACCGTCGCCTACCCCTACGGCAACGGCAATGTGAACTATGGCGCCTACGCCCCCGCCTACTACGGTGGCTGTGGATACTACAAGTAAACGCCTTCACCCCTCAATCTGTGAGTATAAACTCAATACATTTAAGAGATGTCTCAACATTACTTTCGGAAATGTGTTCTTGTGTTCTAATTTTGGATTTTGTTTTGCAGGCACTCTCCTCAGCGCACTGTCTACTCTCCTCATGGTCGTTCGTCTCAACCACCATGGTCGTCATTTCCAGGCACTTCTTTCGTCCAGCATTTCTAAATAAATCTCTTTAAACAAAACATTTTATATGGTGTTGTTAATTTGTGATAGGTTCCCACTTATCCATGACTCCTATTGTCCATTCATCATATCCCACTCGTCCACTCCTCCCACTCCTCCCACTTATCCCACTTATCGCACTCCTCCCACTTGTCCATTCATCATATCTTATATTCTTCAGATTCTGCGATAGAAAACAAAAGACTAGCATTCAGAATATGTTTTGTTTAAGTTTTGGAATCATAACTATTCTTTAATACAACTAGAAAGTATTTTGAATAATGAGGTCACACATAACAGAGAGTAAAATAAAATTAGCTATTTGTATATTACAATTTGTTTAATTCTGTGACAGTTCCTCAAGGAGAGCGTATGCGCAGTTTAAAAGTATCTGCGCATTCGCAAGTTTCTGTAGTCTAGGAGTATTTCATTGGTTAAATAAAAAGAGAAGGGTCCATTCTTCAAGAAATACTAGCATTTATTCTTCCTATAAACATTCTTCAAATTCCTAATTCAAAGACTGCATGAAGATATATTCAATTACGTTAAACTGAAATTTATAATTTATAACACTAATAATGCACATAACCTCCAAAACTATTTGTTACCACTGTAATTTCTATATAACTTACAAACTTTATAATAGTGACCATCTTTGGTGTTCTAATGATTACCAAAACAGATTATATAATTATGTCCAAATCACATGAATTCTACAGGTACAAAAGTTCCTTCACTGATGGTGAAACATTCAGGATACAAAACAAAATAATTTGTGAGCTAGTTGGCGAAAAATACCCACTTGCTGCTTGAAGGATACTACAGATCAGAAAAGGTTATCTCACCGTTTTGAAGTTCGCACATGCGGTAGCCGAAGTACAACTATAGTAATGGCCTTGCGGCTGCTGCACGAAATGGTGACCACGATCTCTGGTTCTCATGAGTTGCGCTTCAACACAATTGGGTTATACTTCAGTCAAACCCAACTACCACTTTAACCTGTAGAGGTAGCGCAGACTGCGATATGCAAAGTTGCTTCTCCCTTTTGGCGGACAACACGGAGCCTCTCGACTCGCTAAAAACAATAGGAACCGCCTTGTTCGGGTTGGGGCAAACACCTCAAAAACACTCACCGTGTTAGATCTGACCACCACGCCAGAAGTTCTCAAACCGAACCTCCTGGAGGGCAGGGAGAGGCAGGACCCGTTCCCAACGATTTCCACGACACGATCCCGTTCACTTGGTGATTCGGGGATTGTGACGTCATAACGTTCCTGTATGTTCACCGATCAATTCGAAGGAGTTCGAACACAATTGTATATTGCAAATATTCAAAACAATTACACCAATACTAAAATTGTTAACAAAATCTGAGCATTAAAACAATGTACTCTAAATTTGAAGCACAAACTGATAACATTAATGTACACTCTGACATACTTCTCTAAATCAAAATTTGCATTCTACACACATTTTTAGATATTCAACGTTTTGACCGTACTTTGAAGGTCTACATAAGTTATATTTACGTTCATGTTAATACAAAATAGTTAACAATCAATAGTTTCATATGATCAACAAGATTTTGTAACAGTCTAATATTAAAAATACTGCAAGTTTGTTTAATAGAGTTTACGTATATCCACATAATCAAAGCACAACGCTCCATTCATTTGTGATGGTTAAAAGCAGATATGAAATGAATAACATTAGTGCTCATTGTCAGTTAATTCTTTAAATTTTCTCCAAGTATCTATCAAACGACGCTATAAAAGTGGTGGTAAAAGAAGGTAATTTCTGGCGAATTCACAAATTTTTCGAAAATTGCAAAAAATGAACAATGTACAACTACAAAAATAAGATAAAATTATTTGCCTTAAAGGAAATCTGTATAAAAAAATCAGCTGTTTAAAAAAGATCACGAAGAATGATTTGAAAAAATAAGGCATTTTCGTGTGATTAGTGCTTGAAATTAATGCATGTCTCATATTCATTGAACTCTAAGTTTTCGAAAATTGCATATTTAAAATTAATGGGAGAAAGTATGAGCGGTTGTTTCACCACTAGATCAATCAACAAATAAAGAAGTAAAAAAATGGTTATAAAATGGATAGATTAAGTAACCAAATACACATTTTAGTAATGTGCTTTTTGTTACGTCGAAAGAAATACACCAGAAATAAACAATAACAAATATTTATTGTGCGCATTTTACAAATTCCAATTCCCAACTCGTACCAATTACATTGGAGATGTACCTGAGTCGAAGCACAATCGCCATCACCCGAAAATAATTCGGTCCGAAGCAAAGTTCACCGAACGTCCAACAAGAAATGAACGTAGCGAGCCCAGTCAGCGTAGACATTAAGCCAATACTAGACACAGGCTCGAATGCGAACCATGTCTACTTCATATTCAGGAGACGACGTCAAGGGCAGAGACTCACCTCGGGTTCGCGTTCCGCAATCTTTCCTCTTGCGAACCCCAACAGTGCGCGCTGCCTACTTGCATGCACCCATTTCACTTTTATATTTTTTATAAAATTAAATTAAGGGTTTTATAGTCATTGCTAAAGAATATTAGTTATTTCTGTGCTAACATATCTCCACGAAGCATCTAATCCCTGTACAGTATTTCCATAACTGCACACGCACGTGCGTGTGCGTGTGTGCGTGTGCACGTGTGCGCGTGTGCACGTGTGCGCGTGCACGTGCGCGCGTGTGCACGTGTGTGCGTGTGAGCGCGCGCGTGTGCGTGCGTGCGTGTGCGCGCGCGTGTGTGCGTGCGGGCGTGTGTGTGTGTGCGTGTGCGTGTGCGTGTGAGTGTGCGTGTGAGTGTGCGTGCGTGTGCGTGTGCGCGCGCGTGTGTGCGTGTGCGCGCGCGTGTGTGCGTGTGCGCGTGCGTGTGCGCGCGCGCGTGTGTGCGTGCGTGTGCGTGGTCGCGTGTGAGTGCGTGTGCGTGCGCGCGCGCGCGTGTGTGCGCGCGTGTGTGTGCGCGCGTGTGTGTGCGCGCGTGTGTGTGCGCGCGTGTGTGTGCGCGTGTGTGTGTGCGCGCGTGTGTGTGCGCGCGTGTGTGTGCGCGCGTGTGTGTGCGCGCGTGTGTGTGCGTGTGCGTGTGTGTGTGTGCGTGTGTGTGTGTGTGTGTGTGTGTGTGTGTGTGTGTGTGTGTGTGTGTGTGTGTGTGGGCGCAAGCGCGCGGTTTCGTCACTCACAGTCCATTTCCCGTGCACCACACGAGACTTAA